CTGTTACTGAGATGCTGTGCAACAAAGTACACAGGCACATGATTAGGTGTCATGCACCTCACTGGAATTAGACATCCACCTGAATTCTTTGCAGATCAAGGACAGATTTAAGCATATTCCTAAACTTAAGCGTGTACTTAAAAGTTTTGTTGATTTCTTCAGTGTCCTCCAAGCTAACATTAATTGGCTGCTAACTGGCCCAAACTTTGTGTTTAAATAAGCCTGTTACTACATTGTGATTACTTTTTAGTTGGTTTTGTGGACTGTTTTATGTCAAACCCTAGATCTATACAGTAGTTGACCAGGGTGTCTGTAACAAAACTCTGAAATGGAACTTCAGTTGAATCAATACCAAAGCCTTATTTATTTTATGCAGCACCAATGTTATAAAAACAAAACCAACGTTCTTCTTGCTTTCCTTAGATCTTTATCTTTCCTACAAATAGCACAGCAACCACATAAACTTGTATTTTTCTGTTTTAAAACAATCCATACCTATGCACAGAGATGCTCATCAAGTAAAATTTCTAGATTTTGCTCCAGAAGTAACAAAAAATTATTTTTTCAAAAATTTTTGTGACCCACTCCTAAATGTAAAGGTCAAAGGAGGAGAAACCTCAAAACATCACCTCCTGTGAATGTGTCATGTCAATTCCCTTTTGATATTATTGCTTTGCGTATTTAATTGAGCTTTATTCAAAGTAATTAATGTTTCTGTGCGTATTTAGAGTGGAGTTACTCAAGATACGCTTATATTTAAAGCAGCACCTAGCTGCAGACACTGAAACTCCCTCTCAAAGTATTTGAAGGCAGTTAAATGGCAGAAAAAAATTTATTTCTCCCAGATCATACTTCTTACTGAGGCTTCTGTGGAGTTCTGACACAGAGCTCTTTAGTCTCACAGAAGCCGGCATCTGGATCTGAACTCCCTTGGTTGATTCATTTCACAGATATGGCAGAGGATTGTATGATCATTTTGTTTGATCAATAATCAGTACAACTAGTAATCTGCAATCACAAGCCCAGAATTTCTAATTAAGCTGCAGTAGGTTTTCAGTAAAACATACATATATTAGGTAAAAGATCAGATTAGTAAAAGAGTCACATCTATAAGAGCATTGTCTTAGTGTTTAACTATTAAAAATCTTAGACCTTGTAGTTGCATGTTTATCTTGCTCTATTCTTTTGTTAGGCCATTCTCTACTAGATTGAAGAAATGTTCCCCCTTCAAAAATACCGTCTGTGTTGAGTTACTCGCATGGCGCAATCAAGTCATGTCTTTACCCTCTTAGATAAAATAAATTTTTTGTTGTTAAGAACCACTGTAAATTGTGTTTCCAGCATGTGGTTCAGAAAACAAGCAGCAAGGTCTGATTGCTCATTTTCAAAGAGCATAATTTTTGAAACATCAACACCCTAGGCGCATGTGCATGTCATTCCAGGAATAGTATCATTTCTGTGAGTAAAAAATGTGTGTTAACCCACTTGTCTTGCTATCCCAGTGCTTAACTATGAAAAAATAATATATGGCTTCATAGAGCGTCTTCTTGAAGTTGTAGGTGACTCTCTACCTTACATCTTAAATCCACTTCACCATTACTGTGTTTCTGGACACTTTCTCTCATTTTATGCCTTGCATTCTCAGTCCTACATGCATAATTTTGTGTATGATTTTATATAAAATTGTATTACAAACACACCGCTTAAATAGGTTCACCTTCATAAGTGATCCAGACCACTCTGTCTCTATTGCCATCATTAATTCCCACTCCACTAATTTCTGTGTCGTCAGATTTGAAAGCGTGCTATAGGAGAATGTAATTTCAACTTTCGTAAACTACAAGGAAGCACTGTAGCCTCTTAAGATTTGAGACTTAATAATTGCACATGATCCGTAATGTCTCCTTAAACAAAATGAGTATAACTATATCTGTTAAGCCATCATAATGGCTTCAAAGTACAAACTGACACGTCAAATTCTCTCTTAGCTTCCCTATGAGTGGCTGTGTTATTAAGTGCTTATAGATTCATACTATGTCTCTAATGGATCCAAAGATCTCATTAGAGTTTTTAAGTAAATAAAAACATTTTTGTAACTGGCTCATGCATTTCCATGGAAGAATGTAAGAGTTGAAAAAAACAATTAGTTTACTGGAGATACATTATATTTCCCTGAGAATTCCTCCTTTTACTTGGAAGACCCTTTTTAGCTTCGCAATGTATTTTTGGCACGCATTCATGTTAAAATAGTATTTGCAGTTAAACAGCAGAGCCAGTAGGAGAAACAAAACAAACAGGGAAAAGAAGATCCATTTACAGCTGGGATTTGAAAATGGAGAAAGCTGAAAGTCAAAAGGCCAACTGGGAGGAATCGCAGAAAAAATGGGTAGAGACAGCAGCAATGACAAGGAAGAATGTAGACTGCAGAGAAGAGTAGTCACAAAGAGTATTTTGTAGCTGTAGTACAAGGAGAAGTGGTAGAAGCAGAGGAATTGTCAACAATCATAAAATTAAGAACTCTAACCTTTAGTTTATTTCTGATTGTGTATAGTTTTTCCTTCTGACAATGCTCTGATCATAGGTTTCTTTAGTGCTTTCTCTGGGTGTCTCTGCTGATTTCCTGTTTTTTTTAAGATACCTGCAAATGCTGAGGCAGTTATCATTACTGGGTATAATTTCAAAGCTGAGATTGCCCTACGCACAGGCTCTATATAAGCCTGACAGTTATGAATGTGATTTTCTTTCTAGTCCCAGTTAGACAAATTACATTTTTGAGTCTTTGATGTACATAAAAGGTGCTTATACTAAGGCTTTATATTCTGCTTGTCTACAGGAATACATTCCCCTAGTATGAGTTCAAAAGTATGTTCTCAGATCAGTTCCACATACTCCATTACTTTATTTGCAACCCAGGGAAGTTCCTCCAGAGTACTGCTGTAGTCAACACAATCTAAGTGTCTTTAGTGATAAAGTTGGGGTTTAGTTTAGCAGCAGCTCCCCAAGTCCCTTGAAGTTCTGTTACTAGAAAGCTCCGTAACTGGCCTGTGTCCAGTTCTCCATAAAAACAGCATTTGCAAATATATTGGACTTCTCCAGAACCTTTCTGGAATACCTATATTTTCTGAGGTATGTTGAATCCTGACAGTCTGCTGAGATTTCCTGTAAGACTCTGCAATTTTCATAACATTTTTACATTTGTTGCCTATTTTGCAGAGTCTTTCATGCACAGCTGTGTCATATGTCTCTGGACTAACCTTCAGCATGGCAGAAGCACTTACATATTTAATCACCTGAGTCAAATTTCCTGAGACAGTAACAAGAGTACTGTGTGGTACTTTTTTACCTTATGCAAAACTTTTGTTTTGTTTTGTTCTTGAATAGCCTTTCCTTTTCCTTCCCAGGCCTCCCTGGATTTCTCTGGGCTAGTTCTCTCATTTCTGCCAGATGATCTCATCTGCAAAATACAACTAGCCACTCCCTCTAGTGGTTTGGCCTTATCTTCCCAGGTTTCTCTTATAATACACAGTGGGCCTTGCATTCATCAACCATAGCATGTTCAAATGGTGAAAAACCCATTGGTGCCTAGGGCACTTACTTCCCTATAGGGAAACTAAAATAGCAGCCATTCATCTTAGTCTGATCCTGTGCTGTTAATGAATTTTCACAGCATGCATTTCAGTGTTAGATTAAACATTTCTGCAAGGCTGTCTAAGGAGGGTATGGAGTGATTTTTATACTTCTGTCTCAAGAGAATCATTTCATGAGCTTAAAGTTTGTCCTCTGGCAAGTTATAATCTCTTCTGACATACCAACCAAGCAAATAATGAGACCAAGGGTACAATAACCTGATGCCTTTTTATAGTTCTTACAGAAAAGGCTTCTAGGTATCGAGTAGCATAGATATTTATTGCTGAAGTAGAGGCATTGTGAAACTGTTCCAGCTTTAGAAACTCCACATACCTACAAGAAAACCAGGGAAAACTCCTTCTCCATTACTAATAATGGAATATAGGGCTATCATCATTCTGACCTACATTGCCCTTCACTTCTTACCCACTTTTGTCCCTTGAAGGAAAGTAGAAACATGCATCTTTACTCCAGCCTCCTAAATGAGTCCTGTTGTCTCACATCCTTCCCTCTCATTGTCCCTCTCTCCCTCCTTCTCCCCCCGGACATCCCACCATTAACACCAGATGTCACCAGGCTATTGCTTCATGGATCAGAGGGGCCAGACCACAACATAAAATAGAGAAAAAAGAACTGCAGTAATGCAACAGTCCTTAAAATTTGGGTATGAGCATTCAGAGCCAAGATCTCTTCGACTATTTCCTCACAAGTTCTTTCATTCCTACAAATTCATAACGTTCTTAGAAAAACAAGTTTCCTGGCCCATCCTAAATCAGCTCCCTGCTCACCCCCCACCCCCGATATTCCCGTAACAGCATATCCTTCTTCAACATCTTAAACATCACTTTTCTGTTTTCCCTGTAAAATGAAAAGAGGGGTAAAGGGGAGAGAAGTGGGTTTGTATAAGCCTTGGGCTCCTCCCACTCTAATCAGACCCTGGGAAGGTTAGTGATTAATTGAAGCCATCTGCTAAGGGCCTTCTCTCCATGTGTTTAGTTAGATTCTGTCACATATGTTTACACAAAGTCTAAACAAAAAGCACCATCCTCTCCCATGCTACTTAACAACTTGAGATACAGGTAATGATCTTTGACTTGAAAGCAGCTTAAAAAGTAAATTGTGAAGAGCCTGTATTTAGTAGTGTAGAAAGATTCCTAAGAAACTTATGAAAACTATTTTAAAGCAAGACTTACCATTTCTCTGTTTAATTATCTTGAAAATAACAAAACCATCAAGTGTAGCTTGAGAAAGAGAGAGGGAGAAACTTGATCTTACTAGATGACTGTGACTCCATGAACTGATGCATAAAAAAAAAGCATGTTGGGACTTTCTGTAAAACTGCTCTGTTTTTCTTTCTTTTTTGGGACTTAGAGGATGTCAAATAAAAATATGAGTCAAAGGCCACAAAAAATGGTAGAGTGGAAAGAATTGTCTCTCTGAGGAAATATTCATCCTTTGTGAATACTGTATCCCCAGGGCTGATGGTGCACAGTTGAGGCCCAGGAGCAGCTGTTCTGTTCACATATTCTCTCTAATTAATACAAGAATTGCCATACTTTTTTTTTCCTAGACAGAACTTCAGGCAGGTAAAAATGCATTAACTTTTGAGCTACTTGCTGACCTTTTCTTGCTAAGTAGACTATTTATATACTACCAGTAGTATCAGTAGTAGCAGCTGCAGCAGTAATAATAGTCATCATACAGTTATCTTGAGAGAATACAGCCACAGATAGAGATGTATTTCCATGCATGCTTCTTTCCTTCCTGCATTTCTTAGCAGTAGCCACAGGCTATGGAAATTATTTCTTTTCTGCCCTCACTGCCCTGTACTGGAGTTCCCAAGATGTTCTGCATCATGTTCTGCTATTTCTCCCAACACTTCCCAGGGAGAAAACTGTCCATACATTGACACATAGCTCTCAACATGTGAGCACTGATTCAAGGATATACAAGATGCACCAGATCTGTATTATGCCATTCTTACAGATGATTTTTGTATCCAGGGTAAAATGGACACATTCTAGCTTCCATTATTTGCAATTTCTTCTTCTTCTTCTTCCTGCTCTTCTTCTTTCATTTCTCTCTGTACATATATGTATTTTTGCTCTTTGGCATGATGTGATGGACCTTTTGCACTTTCTGTGAATGCCGCTTTTCATATTTGCCTCTTAGTGAAGGTGTCAGAACATGCACAATGACCATAATGCATTTTTAGCTACATTTCTCTCTTTGCCTTGAAAGAGTCTCTCGTGTTACCGCCACATGGGAAGGAAACAGGACTAGAGGCAGGCATCCTAATGGAGCCACAGGTCGTGCCCCATGTAGAAAGTAGCGGTGATATTAGAGGCAGATTATTTTTGTGCCTCTGCAGGTTGCAGAATTTGCAGCTAGGAGAGAAACTTTCCTGTCCGCAGACCTAGAAGTGGAGGAGTTTTCCACTCCTAAAAAGGCTGCACTGTAATCAGCCTGTGGAACACGGACATACAGGGCTTCCCTGAATTAACTTGTGTTTAAACCAACACACAGTTATAGAAAACCAACCAGTGTTGACTTTTAAAAAGTGCCAGTGATGGAAAAGTGATGGAATTGTCTTGAATACAAATTTAATACATTATGAATTATTCTATTTTTGCAAAGAATAGCAATGTAATCACAGCCAAAGAATAAGATTTATGAGCTCCTTATTTTTCTCTGCAAAAACCCATATATATAGTCATGTAAATTATTCTTGTCTCACTATAGCCATCAGATACTCCTATGAATACAAGAAGCCCTTTTATATCGATTCCCTGTTCCCCTTCATTGCTTAAAAAGACTTAAAATAATGTATGTCCATGGTTGTTCTTACTGGCCTCTAAGTGTATTTTTGTTTGTTAGCGTAAAGAATCAATAAAGCTTAAGAACCAGATTAATCTCTGTAGTAAATTAACTAAACCCTCTGATGTTGCACAGGCAATAAATTGGTGTTAAATATTTAATAGGGTACACTCTTGAAATATTTCTCTTGATATAGACATGGATAAAAAAAAAGTAGCAATTCAGTAAAGCATGACTCCAGAAGTCAGATAGTATTTAATGCAAAAAAATTTTGTATTTGAGATTAACTGACTTTATACTATCTGCCTGCTCCTGCTAGAGCTTAAAAATATTTTGTGCAGCAATAATCAGAAATTACTTAAAGATGAATCTCAGAAGAAAATAATTTCCTATGCATTTAGCAATTACTGTGTATCATGCGCTAAATATCAGGGTATGTCTGAGGAAAAAAAAAATCTGCAAGTATACCTTCTTCTCCTTCTAAAAATCCTTCTTTTACCTTCTGTTTATTGTGATGAAAGAACAAAAAAAATATGAGAAACACTTTTAAAAAGAAACATTATTTTAATAGTGTTCTTAGAAAATGTAGCTTCCAAGTGCTTACTCCAGAGAAGCCAAAAATAATTTCAGTAGATCACATTAACTTTACAGGTTATGGTGCCTTTCAAAGCCTGTTGTCATGATTTCTATTACATTGCATGAGCCATTTTAATAAGGAGCCTACCTTTCCAACTCTCCTGATTACCTCCCTGCTTACTTCTTTCATTCCACTTTAAAATTGAATCACATCAGGAGCATAAAGAAAAGATATTATTTCTCTTTTTTGCAGGAAAAGAGAGAAAATTGTCAAATTTTAACTTAGAACACTGCATGAAACTATACCTCAGAAAGCTGAACATAGCATCAGGATGTCTCCTCTACTAAAGTTAAAAGCTGATAAACTTTGCTGCCTGTGCATTTGCCTGGACCAGCTAAGAGTGCCAAATGCCCCACGTTACATTCCCTTCACAGAACAGGTAGATGGTCTCTTTTTTCTGAGAGCTCCACAAAATACCAGGATCCATTCCTTGGCCTTGTGTGACCCCTTCTCACTGCTTGTGTCAAGGTCAATGCATAAGCCCTTGGCTGTCCTCCTTCTTCTATGTGCAGTCTTGTGGAACTTCTCCTGTCCTCTCCATGCTTGCAGGTTAGCAGATGACAAAACCCCCTGATGCAGAGAACATGACTATAGTCTGCTTGTTTCTGTCTGTACCAAAGACTTTAATTACTACTCTAACGAAACCAGAAAGACTGTCTTCTTGTTCTTCTTAATACTAAAAGAGTCTACCTTTTCTAATCTCTGACTGGGAACTAGTACTTCAGAGCTTTCGTGTGTTCAGAAGCATATGTAATGTTCTACTAAATGAGATCCAAGACCTGCCTAGTCACAGTTGGTCTTTAACATTGTGTCACTCTGATGATCATGTTGTGTTTCTCTATATCCCCTTAGATATTGACAAGGTCTTCTCAAAGAACTCCTTGTAACTCAAAAACCACAGGGAACTAATGCAAGGCACCTCAAGAAAACTTACAAAAGGCACAATATGCCATTTCTGAGGGACTGCATGTCACAGGATTAGAAACTTCTGTTTCTACTCTGGATTTATAGACTAACAGGCATTGCAAAAGACAGAATTTTATAGTCATCATTCCTTTAATTTGATTTTAATCTCTGGAATTCAGAAAGATTTTGGCCATTGATGATTCTTGATTTCTCACTTTAACTGTTCACTTTTGTATTGATCCCTAACTGGGTACATGAAGCCTCCGACCACAAAAATGAGTGCAGCAGACAAGAAACATTAAGATAATGGTAATAATCATAAGCTAGTTTTTAGAGACAATTTCACAAAACAGCTGAGAGTACCCAGGCCCATGTCTGATACTGAAAAGCACCATCAAACAGAAAACCTTTCTAATGTTATGTCTGCTTGTTAATTGCACAAAGGCAGGCTTCCAAATTGTCTGTCAAAGATGTCTAAGTGATTCTTTTGTCTTTTTATGCTCATAAGCATTGAATTTCAGGTATAAGAAAAATTCAATATCTAAATTTTTTCTTACTATAGCCCTCTTCCTTCCTACATGTACTTCAAGAGTCTCTCAACCTTGCAGGTGGTTTCTATTAAATACTAATGGTGGTATCATTAACGTTTTCTAATTAAACAGTCCAAGGAAAAACATGATCCTTTGAATGGCTTTTAAAAGTCTCAATAAAATTACTCAATGTAACTGGGGGACAGGTTGTTTATTCCTTTTGATGGTATCCTCCAGGCAATAGATTAAAAGAATGTATGTTGAAATAGTGCTGGTTTACTGCAGTTGTCTAGTCATGGTACCAGTGCAGGAAACTTCTGAATTACTCTTATCTGCTTGGACAGGAGGGAAGTTCTGTAGACTCACCTATTTTAGATTATTCCTTTAAAATTCAAAACCCAACAGTTCAAAGATTGACCGATCTAACAAAAACTTGCAAGCACAATGTTTTTGTATGTTATGATGGCAAAGTCTGGTTTTATTCTAAAAAGACAGAACAGGAAAAATAGACTGAAAATGAGCTATAAAATTCAGTACTTGCCCATTGATATAAAATTCAATCACTCTGGATCACACAATTTTTATTATCATGACAGATGTTTTATTGGTTTTTATTTAGGTAACACTGCAAATGAAAACACTGCTTCCAAATTAATTAAAAAACAGCCCTCTGCTAAGAAGCTAACAATGTAATTTGAATAAGTGGTAAAAAAGCAGCACATGGTTAAAGAAAAATTATAGAATGGAACCCAGTAGCCTAAAATTCCTTACAAGAAATGTTTTTGGAAGAAAGAGGAATCATGGTTTAACCCCAGCCAGCAACAAAGCCCCACACAGCCACTCTCTCCCTCCTCCCTAGTCAGCTGGGGGAGAGAATCAGAAGGCTAAAAGTGAGAAAACTTGTGGATTGAGATAAAGATAATTTAATATGTAAAGCAAAAGCCGCGCAAGCAAGCGAAGCAAAACAAGGAATTCATTCACTACTTCCCATCAACAGGTAGATGTTCAGCCCTCTCCATGGAAGGAGGGCTCCATCACACATAAGGGTTACTTGGGAAGACAAACGGCATCAGTCTGAATGTGTCCTCATCTTCCTTCTTCTTGCCCCAGCTTTATACGCTGAGCATGATGCCATATGGTATGGGATATCCTTTTGGTCGGTTGGGGTCAGCTGTCCTGGCTGTATCCCATCCCAACTTCTGGTGCACCCCAGCCTACTCAATGGTAGGGTACTGTGAAAAGCAGAAAGGGCCTTGACTCTGTGTAAGCAGTGCTCAGCAATAATTAAATCATCTCTGTATTATCAACAATGTTTCGGCACAAATCCAAAACATAGCACCATACTAGCTACTATGAAGAAATTTTCTATCCCATCCAAAGCCAGAGGAACAGGCAAGAGTGCAAGTTAAACCAAGTAATAGATGGCATCTTAGGTGCTGTTCAATGTGGATCAGCATATCTATACCATATTATGTAGTATTTGAAGAATAATTGCACTCCAAGATTTAAAGTGTTCCTGACAAAAGCCAAATTGGACTGCTTTGAGAGAAAAGTGCACAATCTGATTAATCTGGAGAAAATCAGACACTAATCTGGGGGAAGGTATATTTTGTAGTTAAAATGTGGGAATCTGAGATCAGATGTTGAACGAAACAAAACTGGATTT